AATTTTATTTATCCCGTATGTATTCCCTTTCTTCATAAGAAATCAATGGTCAATATATAATTGGTTTTAGGTTGGATACTGTGTTACACGTTTCTATTGGTCAATGACTCGTCCAAATCGGCGTTGTGTTTATACATGTTCAATAATTGATGTAAATAACAGACCTATGTTTCGTATTAAAGTTAAAGAAGAAGAATGTCCTGAGCAAGAATTTACAGAATTAACAGCAAAAGGTAGTGTAAATTCTTTCGTTATAAGATAATCTGATAAATATAAATTTGTATTACATTGCAGCTGCTTGGCATAAAATTGTTAACAGTATTGATATATTACGTCGACAAAATAGTTTAGTTAAAATGTTTACAGTATTTGTTAGCGGTGAAGATTTATACGGTTTTACAGTATGTTATCGATGTCGGATATTTCTTGTTATTTCCAACGATCATTTTTTAACATTATAGGAACCTCATATTATCCGTTTAATAGAATCATTGCCAGGTGTTGAAATATTGCAAAATTATGCATTTAAGTATGGACGATTACAATTACTAGACATGCCATTGACAATAAATCCAACAGGATGTGCCCGAAGTGAACCAAAATTACAAACACATTTTCGACGGTACAGTATCTCTATAGGTAGAAAAACAACAGACTGACTATTATTTTGGAGTTTTTTTTTCTTTATAGACATGCACTTACATTGACTAGTTCACATTCAACGAGAAGTGCATTACCACGAACAGTTCTTGGCATTGAAGATCATCCTCAAATACCTTATGTAAAACATTTTGTATTATCAAAATCAACACAGTATAGAAAATTAAAAATAGAATGGCGTCAAAATGTTTTCTTAGCTAAATCACGTATTCAGGTAAGTCATTGATTACTTTACTTCTGCATTTTTGAATTTCTATTTACAATATCTTCAGGGTCTTGGTTTATTTGCTGCACGAGATTTAGAAAAACATACAATGGTCATCGAATATATTGGAGAATTAATTCGAAATGAAGTGGCAAATAAACGTGAAAAATTGTATGAACAACAAAATCGTGGTATATACATGTTTCGTATTGATGATGAACATGTTATTGATGCAACAATGAGTGGAGGATTGGCAAGGTAAAACTTATATCAATTTGTGTTTATTCTTTGTCATGAAATAAAATCTCTTGTAGATATATTAATCACTCTTGTAATCCGAACTGTGTTGCAGAAGTTGTGCAAATTGAAAAAGATAGTAAAATAATAATTATAACAAATAGACGAATAACCAAAGGAGAAGAGGTATGACACTGATTTTTTCACAGTCTGATGTTTCCTTCAAAGTTCTATAATATCTACCTATCAAACTGATGACAAATGTTAACACTTTATATCTCAATCATATAAGCCAAAGTTTTCTTTTGTATTTTTAGTTAATGTATGATTATAAATTTGATTTTGAAGATGAAAGTTCAAAAATTCCTTGTATGTGTGGTGCATCAAATTGTCGTAAATGGATGAACTGATTTTTTCGGTATTTATTGTTGTGATGTTTTTTTTTCTTCAGTGATGAGGATCTACATAGCTTTTAAACTTGACATATTTGGTCATTTCATGTTTTTTATTTCAAATTTTTTATGTTTCTTTTTTTTGTTTGATTCTCTTTATTTTATCTTACATTAGTCGATATACACAATAAAAATCAACTTATTATTATTATTAGAAATCCTGTGTTTTTTTTCGTTCAATAAACAATATAGATGATTTTCTCGTCTATTTTTCTTTTTGATCACTCGATCTATCTATATCTATTATTGCTTTGTACATTTTGTAGAGTATATTCTTTGCTCCTTGTTCTTGTTGTTTTTTTCTTGTACACATGTACAAGATGTCTGTGTTTTTTATTTAAACAAAAGACAAATATAAATATACATTGAAATTCTTCTTTTACCGTCCTTTTTTGTTGTTGTTGTTTTCTTTGTTGCGTGGATGATTGTAATGAGAAAAACAAAAATTAACAAACTTTCGTTCAAATATGATTATTAGAAGAAGAAAATACATAGAAATATGGATTTTCAATTTGTTATTCTTTTATTTTATTTCTCTGCTCTTAAAAAAGATAGAAATGTGACAAGTTTTTTGTTTGTTTTCTTCGTTTTGTATATATTTTTTATGGAAATAAGAAACAAACTTATTTTACAGTCAACTGCTTGTCAAAAAGCTGTTTGACTTTACTATACTCATACTATAATGAAAGTTTAACATAATGTGGGAAATAGTAATACTTAATAACGAAACTAGCTATGATGAATCGGTAAGGTCAATTATAGGTTTTTTCTTCATGACAATACTTTTAGCTTAAAACTATGTTTGATATCTGAAATTCTTTATTATTTAAAGAGAAAAATTTCTGTAAAATCATATTGTGTCATAGTAAATGTACACACTAAATTAATGACAAAATAAAATTAAACGCAATTGTAATCCATTCACAGTGACTGGACAATTGCGAATTCAGATTCTATATTTAGTTTTATCATTCATCAAATGGTAGGTAAACGTTATGATGCACTTTTGTCGACATTGAAATAATAGTAAATAATCTTCTCACTTGAACAGAAAAGATATATTTATTCACAATTGACGTTCAAGAACACTTTTCTATCCATTATTCGCTTCATTATCACTTTTAGTTCATTATGTTTCTATTTATTTCTCTACATATGTGTGTAAGTGAAGAGACTCTACTATACACGTTGTATTGCTCATCAATCACACATATACATACATATATCAAGTACGGAAAGCTTTTAATGGAAATAGACTGACAATGACTCTTACAACGACTAGTGAAGAAAAATAATTTTCTATGTTTTCTTTTCTCTTATTGAAAATAATTGCATAACAAAAGAAGAAAAATGAAAAAGAAATAATCTAATGAAGATGTTCTGAAACTTTTTCAAGCGTATCAGATAAAATACAGATTTATGATCATGATATTATGATGAAATCTAACAGCATTATTCATTTTCTACTCTTACTTTAAAAAATGAACAGTAGCATTTGTTAAAAACTATACCATATTGAAATTAATATTGTATTTTCTCTTATTATGAAACTCTAATTTTTATTATCCAAATATAATCAATCAATCACATGTTATCAATCTATCGACATACTTGTCTGTTCGCATTTATAGTATGATAATTCTAGACAAAAAAATTTTTATCAATATTTTCATCAGACAGATCGCATATCATTAGATAAATGCATCCACTAAATATGTCATAATATAATGCTATTATAGATGATTTATTTCATTTCAAGTTTGCTTTCGTAGAAAAACTAATCGTTCATGACTGCCATATTTTAAGATATTAATATGTATAACACATCTTCTTAATAAAAAATACACACACACACACACACATACACATACACAAGAAATGTACCCAAGAGTAAACAATTTAGAAACGATCTTCTCATTGATAAATGCCCCACAGAATATTTAGCCATAATAAAACATTCTACATTCATTTAAACAATGATACATTACGTTTAGAAACAAGTAAAATATACGAACAAACACCATTTCACTGTTTGTATCATGCCTTTTAATTACAATAGACATGTTACAGAGACAAAAAATTTTTATTTTTAACAAGTTGTAACACGAAAAAAGAACGATTAAATTGCCAAACTTTGCTAACGATTTTTAACATTGAAATATTTTACTTAAAAGCAAAAGACTTATTCTTTCAACTGTAATTCACAGACACACAAAATGTACTTGTTCTGCAACCAGCCTGTGCGCGAAGCAATTATCATTAGTTTAATAACTGATTAGTCGATTATTGAATTTATATATATATATATATGTATGTGTGTGTATGTTCTCTCCGTGTTTAGAAAACAATCACATTGATCTTTTATTCTGTTTAGTCTCTTTTTTTTTGGATGATGAAAAGTAAAAAACGGGTTCTTTTTTTTTTTAAAATAGACCATTTCTTTTGCTAGACTTTTTTTCTACCCTATTATAGAACGTTTCCTTATCATTCTCACGCACTGTTGCGTTTTCACATAGTTGTTGTTGTATTGAACTCTGAAAATTTGTGTTCTATGTAATTCTTTTTCTTTCTTGCTTAAGATCAAAAAATTAAATAGAATCAGGTAACAAAGAAAAGGAGAGAGAAAAGAAGAACAATTATACATTATATATATATATATATATATTGTACGTATTAAGATCGCCTCGTCTATTTTATGATCATTAGTTGTATTTTGGAAAAAAAAACTGAATTTTGATGATCGTGAACAAAAATCAATCAGTGTACAACATCTTTTTGTTTTTAGTTTTTAATATTCAAAGTTAAATTAGCTGGAAAAACCAAGAGTTGGTGTGCATGAAAATACGAATTAGAATAAATGGAGAGAGAGAGAGAGAGAGAGGTAATCAGATTATTATTGTTCCTTCCTTTAGAGTCATTATCAAAAATATAATGCTAATTATTTATGTGCACGATACCGAAAGTCCACATTATTATAGTGAAAAAAAAAAGACTCAAGATTTATAATACATACTTGCACTATACGATTGTAACCGTCTTTCCTATTTTAAAATTTCTATTTTCCAAGTGTTTATTCGCTCAACAACATTCATTCATTTGTATACGGTAAGTACAAAATAGCACTGAATTGAATAAGAAATTTATTTCTGAAATATCCCCTTTTAGTGACAGTGCTGCATCGGAAAATTTTTTTTTTGCAGAATAGGAGCATTTGAGCAAGATTTCATATTTTGTTTGACTTTGCAGTGATTAAACTATTCGAATACTTCGGCCATCTAGTTTTTAAGAAGTCCATCTCTCTCTAGCTACTAATTTGCAAGTAAAACACAATGGGATCGTCCATAAACTTCTCTTTCCTCAGAAAACAGTTTCTTCTCATGAACAAACGATATTTTTTGAATAGTTTGCATAATCATCAAAGCGATTTTGTATTTGTTTACAACTATTTTCAATCATGTCTAAATCGTAAAGATTATACTAAATTTAAAGAAGAAAATGTGATTTCTATAAGATAATCATGATATCATATGTGTACAATACGTCGGATTGAGAAGATTAAGTTAAATATAGGACTTCAATCATCATTGACCATTGATCCAAAAATATTTCCTGATAAAGATAGTAAGACATTCTATTTTTCTGAGCAAAAGCACTATATTAGACGCGAACTGATTTTTTTCGATATCAGAGTGTCGATCTAGGGAACAAGTGTTTTTTAAATTAACTAACGATAATATATCCTAGTAATTAGAATAATAAATCTCTTAACTATTTGAAACTCCAAAAACTTTTTGTTGCATTTCAATACGTTAACTTTTGACAAGTATTGTATGAATGGATTACTATTTCTTGCATGATTACGTGAAGAAAAAAATGTACTTAAAGATTGATGAGGTATACGTGCGTTCATATTTTAACTCCACGCCTTGTAAAGAAGAAGAGGACACAAGGAAAGAAAAGAAAACGTTTATTCCCACCGGAGATTATGATTGTGTCCATGTAATATCTTATATCGCTTTAAATCAGTCAAAAAAAATTAAACTATTCCCCAATCGCTATGTGTTGTGTTTTTGGAAAGAGAAAAGAAAAGTTGCTCACTTTCATCATAAGGAGCAGTATTTTTTTTTTTTTTTTATTATTTAACACGAATCACAGTTAAATGAATAAAAGCAAATATCATGAAATAAGAACGATCAATTGACTTAACTATTTTAAAAACAAATTCAAAATTAATGAACTTTATCAGAAGTTTGAAAAAAAAATGTTTAGTTTTCTCAACAATTTATTGCATGACAATGTTTTGAACTATTGTTTGAACTATGTTTGAACAGGAGGTTTATCAATATAAACAGTTTTTCCTTGATTGGTCAATATTTTTCATATATCTGTATGCTGCTCTATATAGCTTCTATTATTATTTAACATATTCTGCGTTTTTTGTTTTTTTTTAAAATGATAATTCGTCTTCATCTGTTGTTATTCTTTCGCATGACGAGTTTGCATGGATCTCTTTCTTTCTCTCTCTATGTATGTATATTTACGCTAACTAAAAACAAAAACGGAAGTCCTTTACATTTGCTAATTAAGTGGACCAATATAAGAAAAAAAGAAAATTTATCCCTCATTCTCTTTTTCTTCTTCTTCTTCGTTTTACTCATTATTCATCGTTATGTTTGAATATTTCTAGTGTTTCTTCATATGTGCAACAATATTAGTAATCGTCTAGTGATAAATCTTATTATTCAAAGGTGGAGCTAATTTGACCATTTTCGTTGAATATTATCAGACAGTATAAAAACAAATATTCTCTTAGGTATGTACGACTATGAATAAGTGTTTAGAGGTAAACGTTGTACTGTGATGGTATATGCTCACTCTTAACAACTTTAAGCTGATGTACACGGTTGGAAATAATATTTTTCCAGGGGGGTAGAGCTGAAACTACAGATGATATAAAA